AAAAATACACAATCAATACATTTATTTGTTGGCATTTCAGCAAGTTTATGATTTAAACCACGTAGGTGTCTTGGTTGATGATTGAATAGTCCAGTTACATTTTGCTATATACCAGTACTATCAAGTATGATCTTACCCATAAGACAGAATCACCGTTCACTTTTATCAGTTGATGATTTAAACCACGTTCGTGTCTTGGTTGAGGATTGACCAGTCCACAGAATCACTGTTCACTTTTATCAGTAGACAAAATTCACCACACATGAGTAAGTGAGAGAGTGGCTGCTCTGTGGGATCAGGCAACAAACAAGCACTTACCTTTTCGTTTCTGTATAAACAGTGTCACATGCGTGAGGGACACACCATTGGACAAGTGCTAAGTGTTTGTAAAATTCGTTGAAATGGTTGTAATCAAATTTTTCTTGCAGTAGTTTTTACTCCCTTGTTAGGGGTTGAAAGTTTCAGACCAATTTTGATAGTGATTCATAAACACATGCTGATGATATACTTGGAATCGAACAATGAACAATGAACTTTTTAATACGCTATGGACAAAAGGATAGGATGTGACTTTTGGGACTATTTCTATTAAGGATTTTTGTATCTCTTTCCTTAAGAAAACACACAAACACATTGTCACTTAGGCAAGCACATTTCCATTGAATGCATGTACATATTTGATAGTATTTAGATCAACAGTTGATGTTAATTATTTGATAATAGCAAATGACAGTTTTCACTCGAACTTTCAGCAGCCAATACTACATCATGGAATGCTAAGTCTACAGTCTTGGTTTTTTGTTTGCTGATTAACTTTTACAGTTCAAAGGCAGGGGCTATCCGCTTTAATTTCATGAATCCTTTTAGGCCAGTGGTCTACACTTGCATTAGTTTGGTGACAAATTTCATATTTACAGTATTCGTGAGGAATATTAATGTGGGATCAACCCCATGATGGAGTAGAACTGATAGGGTCATTGTGCCATTGGTATTACAGATATATAACCCAGGTACATTTCAATCTACAGAAATCTACAGTCCAAACCAGAGCCTTTAGTACGAGGAGAGGGAATTATGAACATAGACTTGCTATGGTATTATTTTTATGGTGCCCCTGAACTGAAGTGATTTATATTTGCTGGAACAGGTGTTCCTTTTGCCCAACACACCACTCCGACCCTTACTTCACCTAGACGGCTGGTAGAATGGGCCCAATTCTTACAATCGGCTGGTCACGCCATGCCCTGTGTGTGGAAAACATTCATGCTGAAATAATTTTGAATGTTGGGTATGCATATTATGAATGGAAATTATATACTGTAAATTACTGAGTCCCATGTCAGAAGGGATGGCTCATGGGCCAGTCGACCTCTGAATTCTGTATGTCTCCTTTTTTAGTCATGGGCTGAAACCAGTCTGGCATTGTATTTTGTAGACAAATATAGCTATTCATATCGTCTTTAATGGAGTATACGACCCCTGTATCCCTGGCGTTTGCTTGTTGGAGATCCAGTGCACTACAACATCGTTTTTTGCACTCCATGGTGGGCAGAGAGCAGGGGTGCAAGAATAATTTCTTTCATCATGGCTCACAATAACTCTGGTTCGAAAGAAAGCGACAAAACCCTTTTCATATCCAATCGAATTCTCTGCATAAAGTCGATTGTATGATTCCGACTATATAATGAGCATGTGTTTATGAATCACTATCAAATAGAATGATACCAGGTGTTCACGTAAAGGTAAGCGTATCCTGCCCCACCGATGACACCCGTTATAAACACATGCAAAGGCAAGTTAATTGTTCACCAGAAAAAAATCACGGGAACACGTGGTACAAGTCAAAATAGGGAATTGACATATGTTTTGTCACAGATGCGTCAAATTTGGAAAAAAAACAGTTAGGCACAAGTTCATCTGATGTCTAATACCTACTATCTAATAATCTATTATCAATCAATAAATTTGCCACTGAATGTTGTTACTGAGCACAAAACACTGACCTCTTCTCGTGGCATTGTTCGTGACTGGATTCGTTCCTTGGAAGATATGTATCAGAACTAAAGAATCAAGGTATTCAATCCGCTAAACGTTTTACTCGAAAAGATGAAAAGGTTGTATTAACATTGGGGTTGATGTGTATGACCCCAATCCACTACTGTGCTATAGCTACCAAAAGCTTGCACAAGGCAAGTCAATTGTTCACCTGAAAAAAAACACGGGAACGTGTGGTACAAGTTAAAATAGGGAATTGACATTTTTTTTGTCACAGATGCGTCAAATTTGGAAAAAAAAGACATTTAGACACAAGTTCAAGCTGAAACTAATATCTAATATCTAATAATCTATTATCAATGAATAAATTTGCTAATATTGTCGTTGTTGTTTCTGAGCACATAACACTGACTTCTTCTCGTGGCAATGTTCGTGACTGGACTCGTTCCTTGGAAGATAAGGAGAAGGTGGTCAGTCCGCTAAACGTTTTAATCGAAAAGATGAAAAATTAAACATTGATCAAACAAACACTATTCATTTTTGTCCATGCCTCAGTCACACATTCAATAAAAGCTTGTTGTGTTAACATTGGGGTTGATGTGTATGACCCCAATCCACTACTGTGCTATAGCTGCCAAAAGCTTGCACATGGTTCAAAAACCTGTAACTACGAGGGGATGTATAGTCATGAAGACCTTAAAGGTACCAACTGTGGTGGCCAACACATGGCCTATTCTAAATACTGCCAGAAGCTTAAATCATGAAGCAAACAAGTTAGGAAGGCATGGAAAAATGCTGAACGCTATTTCCGTCGCCATTCAATGGTACACAATTTAAATAAATTTATAATCTAAAATGCTAAAGCCAGGCGTATGTTTAAACGAAATAAGCGCCAATCTTGGCCAAATTATGTTTCGAAACTATATTCACGAACATCCATGTCCAAGGTATGGAACATGATACAGAAAATAAAAGGTAAGGGTTCTAAAACTAGCATATCCACCATCTTAAGAAGGTGGACGAACTATATATTAACGGATAAATCCGATATTGCAAACCAACTTGGGGAAACATTAGCAAAACATTCCTCCTCTATATACCCAAATTCCAAAAATACCAAAAACAGCAAGAAAAGAAAAGTATTAATTATAATTCAGACAATAGGGAAGATTATAACGAAATATTTTTAATCCATGAGTTTTTAACTGCTCTTGGACAAAGTCATGATAATGCTACAGGGGCTCTTAATATACTTTATAAATTCTTGAAGAATTTACCAGGTCCATCTTCAGAAACCCTTCTGCTAATTTTTGATGAAATATGGACATCAGGTAGGTTTCCTTCCTCATGGCATGTAGCTATAGTTATTCCATTACCTTAACCAGGACGTGATCACACTGATGACTCAAATTATCGTCCAATTTCATTGACCAGCTGCGTTTGCAAAACCATGGAACGCATGATCAATAATCGACTTGTTTGGTACTTAGAAACCAATAACCTAATTACAAATATTCAATGGGGTTTCTGTAAAAACAAAAGTACAAATGATTTAGTCTGTTTTGAATAATTTGTTAAATATGCCTTTTTAAACAAACAGCATGCAGTGTCTATTTTTGTAATCTAGAAAATGGATGCGGCACTACATGGAAACATAGTATTTTAAAAGATGTTACAGTACATGATCTTGGATTGCAAGACCGTTTGCCTTAATTCATATCCAAGTTTATAACCGGCAGTCCAATGTCATTTCTGCATGAGTTAAACCCGGTCTGGTCCCTTGCTTTGCGTTGACTTTGATAGAAATTCATACACACATGTGATGACATAGCTTGAATCGTACAATGGGCGTTTATTTCCACACGCGTCAGATTTTCCGCCATAAACAAAACGATAGGATGCGACACATATTCGGAAAACTGAGGCCTATTTCTATGTAAGGATTGTTTATTATTCTCATAGAAAACACACAAACACATTCTCATTTTCGAATTTCTTTAATACGAGTGATAACATTCTCTGCTACAATACAAATGTCTATGGCATGTACCAGTTCAGGAACCATGTCGTAAGAGTGTGTAACCTTTGATTTATTTGATTTATTTTCCCACAATTGATTGTCTACTCTGAATATGGTCTCTTACGTTCCTACAACGTACATATATTCAATAAAACACTTTTTGACAACATCAGCAACGATCCACGCCGTCGGTGCACGATGACACCCTATAATCATCAGTTGGGTGATGGGGAACTAGCCAAACTTGGGGAACGGACAGGGGACCTGTTCTGTACCAGAATCACCACAGGGGTTATCTGCTATAACACGTGTACAATCAACATCATTACATCACGACAGGGAATCAAACTGATTAAAAGTACAGTGCAAGAATTGTGCTTACGGAAATAGTCCAAAGATAAGCATTAATCTCTCCTTGAGAGTGATTCACATTGACACTGCTACTGATGAACAGGGTGATACTGATAAGTCTACTTTGTAACATAACGTGGGAACATATACAAATTAATTACTCCGCACAATGCAAACCCTACCTAAGGCCATTTATCAGAATCAGTTATTGGTCCCTCACTCACGCATTCACTCACATCTGTCTTATGAATTTACATAACTGATGAAATTCCTATGGTGACATGTTCAACGGCAACGCAGTGTGCCATCTCGATGGACTTTTAACGGAATTGTTACGTTCAGTAAAAATGTCCCATCAACGATGTTTCCATATATATGACTAAATTTCAATATATATTTAGACTAATAAAACAACAGTTATGTTTTAGCGTTGATAAATGTCAGCATGATTGTGTATTACTAGAGTGTCCGAGATAAATGTGACGTTTGTGTGTTCAAAACTGTATTGACCAACGGACGTGCCATATCAACATACTGTTCTAATTCAACATGATGGAAAATTGTAACTGAACAAAACTATTTTATCTGAAAGTAAACACAGTGAATACAAGACTAACGTGAAAGAAATTTGCACAAAACAAACAAAGCAAACTTATTAGGGATGTGCTCACTTACTGTCACGATAAATATGCACCATTCTACTCAGACAGAATGCCCTCCTCTTTAGACTGACACAGGGTTCACAAAACCGAGCGAAATCATATCTTGAGATATCATATCGCATCCATCTAAGCTGTATTTGTATGGTCTGTCATTTGGTCTGTACATTTGCTTGGAGATCCGGCCTGCTTGATGTGAACGATTCTGTAAAAGGTGGTCCGGAAACTGGTGCTGAGACAGAAATAGGCAACAAAGTCTGTAGACAGGCTCAAACTCGACAGTATTGTCGATAGATTCTGTACCAATAAAAAAACGTAGTAATTAGGCGTATTCGGTCCGTACACGTCCGGGAAAAGGTTGAACACGATGGAGTTGGTTGAAATTGGGAGGGCCAGGAATAGGAACACAAAACTGGAAGTGACGATCGTGATTGTTGTCTGCCTTTCTCGTTTTGCTGCTTTGTCTGTTTCTGTTGTAGTTGCGATCTGTCGTCTTTTCTTTGAATGGTGTTTCAGAGCACAGACCACGAGTACATTGAGGATAAGTCCTCCGATTAGGAGGGTGTAGACGAAAAGGACTTTACTAGCAGTGCTCATGCCTCGGAGTATGGCCCGATTGTGTAGAAAGAGTTGTGATTGACCCACGGAGAATATGGTAGCATTTGTTGTTGGGTCTGTAGTGGCAGTGACCGTATAACGGAGTGGACTGAAGATATGGAACAGAGCCGTGGTCAAAACTGCCATCATGATGACTGATTTGGGGCGTCTCATTAACACAAATTCTTTAGCTTTCAAAGGATAGGCCACCACGATTAGTCTCTCAATAGACACCAGAAACACCAGACAGTTGATAATTCTCCGTAAGACAAGTTGGCCGTACAAACCACTGTAGACACCCATGATGTTGTGAAACAATGATTGGTAATTAGCCGTTACCATGATATAAATATCTGGAACAGAGAGACAAGCTGCATTCAGGATGCTCGCGACACTAATGGCAATGAGGTAGCAGTTGGTCGAGCTGCGGTCCTGCAACAAGAACAGCGAGATGTTGAGACTGTTTAAGATGAGGGACAACGTATATAGAACGATATTCATTGGCTTGATATAAGCCTTGACAGCATAAGCTTTCTCGGGTGAAATAAGCCATTGAACCGGTGGGTCATCCTTCACAGTTGTCACGTCCACATGATCTGATGAACAATTGAAGGTACTATTGCATGCACCATCGGACGATGCTGTGTCTGTTGGCACTAACGTTGTGCTGTCAACGTGTCCGTTGGCTGTAACATTTAGAATATTACCGTTCACAGCTAGCTCATTTCTGTAGATGGAACAAAGCAACAAAATCACGCATGCGAGTTCTCCCGACATGTTGCCGTTGAATTGCGCAGTTCCTTCCGCAGTCTTTTAAACGTTCACGAAGCTTGATAATTATGTAAAGGAAATCATTAAATCCTGGACTGGCGACAATGCACTTACGTCACATCATATCGATGAATTATACACCAGGTAGTGTTTTCACATCGCCCTGATCGTGAAGCAACACGAGTTAAGAACACTGTATTCTGATTGACAGCCAGCAATATCGATTCAACTGGACCATGACTTTGTCGAAATGACGAAATGATTTATTGTGAAGCATTGTTTACGCAAACCCGCTCGGAAGGCAATTTCAAATATAAATTGACTTAATTGTTAATGTTGCTGAAAACGTGTCAATGTTACTTAATGCCTAGGTAAATCATCTTAGACATTTTTTATAGAATACATTCTGGGGCAACACGAGTTCAGAACACTGCTTTTCAACATGATGCGCGACTACTAATTCACTGGTACTCATTATTTAAAGAATACTGTGAACTGTGGTTACTACTGGAAGAGCAGGACATGCCTACCGTTTTCGGGGAGACCTGATCACTGATTTTCATGTGATTGACATGGGTGTTTTGCCTTTAACTCCCACTGAAATTTGGTTTGGCAGATATTTTAGACTGATATTTTTTCAGAGGACTAAAAAGATGTATGATGCAATCGCCTATTTTCAACTGTTCCATATGTCCCCGTGTTGCACTTGATGCCTTTGTATGTGTTTGTTATGGGTGACGCCAGTGGGGTAGGATAAAAATACTGCTATTACAAATGGCTAACGAGAGTAAGATCAGAGATCTTCACTCCATGCTTGTGACGCAGCATTGTCGCGTCAATGATGGCCCAGAGGAAAAGCTACAGAGTTGGTCAGCATGAGTTTGTGCTGTCGTTTGGGCGTCGATAAAATGGTGTTCGTTTCTAAATATTGGACGCATGTGACACTTAATCAAAATAGTGAGAAAGACTGGAATATCTTGCTGAACCCGTGAACCCGTGGAACAACAGCCATCAACATCCCGCGCTTTGCAGTGTGTGAGGAGCCAGATGGACTATCTTCATGTTGGTAGAAATGTCACTGATCGAGAGGTGTCGCCTGTGTTCACATTTGTGCATAATTAGAGATGTAATCATTTTAGAATTGAGATTTCGTATATGTTTACGCCTGTATGAGAAGTGCAAGACGCTGCCACGTTTTGTGGAGCTCGCTCTTTGAGCAGCGTCTGATGGCTAGTGAGTAAATAAAGTAAATAGAGGTAAAGTATCTATTGCGCGTCTTGTACGTTTTCAGGAAGATGTGCGAGGTTCATGAATTGAAGTAATATATAATACGTAACTTGCTTCCAAATATCGAAAAGGATATGGGAATCCAACGCGACATGTTCACTATGAAGACAGCTAATGATGAAATGTCTTGCCATGAAATATACTTCTGACCGTTGACAATTAGTAATTTGACCCCTGCTGAAAACGAGATACTGTAATATGCTTACATATAGTGAGCGAATGTAACCCGAATCCCGAAAAGTGTACAGCATGACCTTGTCGCACGTGTTGGCTTGGTGGCTGACCATTCATTATAGAGAGTGAGTGAGTTGTGTTTAACGGCGCTTTTAAGAGTATTCCAGTTATATCGCGGCGTGTCAGCTTAATGTGGGAGAAAAGCTCGAAGTGATGCAGGTCTCAGATGTTTACCACTTCGGTAAAACCCACGAGCACGGGTATGGTGCTGACAAACCCAGAAACATATTCGAACCTACAATCATAGGGATGCAACTCTGCAAAGCGATTCGTGGCACTTTAGACGACTAGGCCACAAATCTTTTCAAGCTTTTCGGGGAATGGCCTCAAGATATCTGAACAATGTTACGTTGAGCCCGATCGTTGAGACGTTGCATACAGGGATTATTAAATTGGTTTGGGATATATCTTCTTCTTCTTACATATTAAGGCCCATAGTTTTAAGTAAACATTTATCTGGTTTTGCAGATGAAGCTGAGGACATATCTCATCGCACTACATATCATAATTCCTCGGAAAACCCACCCATGGTGGTACTTGAGATATAATTATATATAGACACAATGGCAGAATTTAACAAGAGTTTTGAAAATACTAATTAATTGTCCTAGTTGTAATTGTAGATACTAATTAATCGTACTACACTTGTAATTGTAATTTATTCATTAATGATGAATTTCGGGAGACCTTTAAATCACTTACACTGTTAGTGGTCATAAATTTCTTAAATTGGAACAGATTTGGATAATGAATAAATAATGAAACATATCTTCCATAACAAAATGAATCACAGAGTGGACACTGGCGGTCTTCCATAGGAATATTCAACCATCAACCACAATCAACGGGGAATCTTGATTATTAGTTCTGAACTTTGATATAGGAAAAGTACTGATTTTGAGAGTAATGGATATTTCTCAAAAATGAAGTTGACTCTTTAGGTAGTTGTAGTACGTCCGTTTGGAGGTTGATTCAGCAGTGGATTTCCAGTTCTGAAGGACTTATTTTCAACCAAGGAGGCCAGCCATGGCGTGGAACATACCGATGGGTTTTGAAAAACATTTGATAGACCACGGATATCTAATACATTCTTAATATATCCAAACCATGGGAAACTCTCAACTACTTTATAGATAGTATACATGTATTTGTAAAGTACTTTGGATGGTTTATTATATACTTCTGTAGGAGCAAGCTAATGCCAAAAGGAAATAAGACGTTTATGAACTTTGCTACTTATGGGTTATGTTTTTCAGCCGCGTAGCTTATTTAAGAAAATTTAGATGAACCTTTTCTGTTATTGTTAGATTTGAATGTGCCCAGATCTCGATACCATCTAATAGTATAGGGGATATAAAAAATCAAATATAACGATGTTATGGTCAGCGTTTAATTCAGAATTAATGAGACGTGAGACGTCTTGTTCAAGCTCACATTGATGCCCAAGGAGTTCATTAACGACGTTATTCTTGTTTGAAGTAATCAATCGACTGTGAACTGACCTTGTTCTGCATATTTGTCATCCTCAAGTCGTGTATACAGAGACATTTTGTACCAGTGTTTCAGTGGCTGCTATATCTACAGACTTGTTATACCGATTATCACTTTATATTGTGATGATGTTTCCCGTATAATGGATTTGAAAGTACAGTTTAAAAGATTTAAATCGGTCATCTCAACGAATTCAAAACGGCATTTGATTTTGCAAATGGACCAAAATTACTGTATGTATTACTTAAAAATGTCATCCATGGCATAAGTTTTACAAAATGTTGCAAATAAGAATGTTCATGTTAACTCCCAAGTATTATGTAACCATTGGAAAAAGCTTTCAGAATACTTTAGCTGACTTAGTGGTGTGATGAATCCGATATTATTCTCTCTGTTTATAAAGGAATTGGCCCTGTTTATGAATAATAGTATCCATGATGGGATTTTTTATTTCAGCGGAAATGTTTAATATCATAGCAATACTATTTCCGGACGATATTATTGTCTCCGATTAGACTACTGGTCTACAGAACAGATTAAACGTTCTTCAACAATATTATGATAAATGGGGAATGGAAGTTAATGTAGATAGTATGGTTTGTCTAGATATGAAAAATGGAACACTGTAAGTAGTTATAAGTATTTAGGATTGATGGTCACCCCAAAATTAATATGGACGAAAGCTTGTATAATACTTTCATAACAGGGGAAAAGAGCCCATTTCCCATTAAAATCAATAATAAGGAAATTTGACATATCTTTGAATAATGCATTTGAAATATCTGACAGAAAAATAAGCCTCATTTTATGGTTTCTGGGTATTCAGAAACATAGAAGAAGCAGATCTGTTGATGTAGGGAACAAGTTTATGTGCCCAGCATGTAATGTACTTGAAGATGAAGCGCCCATAATTTGTATTCTGTATTCACAGATAAGAAGTAAATGTTTGTCACCATATGAGTGTGTGAGGTTTTACGATGCTTTAGCAATATTCCAGCAATATAACGTCGGTGGACACCAGAAATGGGCTTTACACATTGTACCCATGTCGGGAATTAAACCCAGGTCTTCGGCGTGACGAGCGAACGCTTTAACGACCTGGCTACCCGACAGCCCCTGTCAGCATATGAACATCTCAAGAACTCTTAGAATGATGAGATATTTGATACAGCCAAAAATTGTAGCTCATGATTACGACACATATTGATTCACTGAATGCGACAAGTGGGGATTATAACACATACGCAGCCACACCTTACATAATTTGTGAGTCTCATGACTTTATGTGTACTAGGGTCTTTTGGCCTTTCGGGGGCGCCAGGTAGCTTAGTGGTTAAAGCGTTCGCGCGTAACGCCGAAGACCCGGGTTCGATTCCCGACATGGGTACAATGTGTGAAGCCCATTTCTAGTGTCCCCCGCCGTGATATTGCTGGAATATTGCTAAAAGCGGCGTAAAATCATACTCACTCACTCACTCACTCACTTATGGCCTTTCACCTCTATATATCCTTGAATCCTTGAAAGATGAATTTGAAAGTCCAGTTTGAAAGATTAAAATCGTTCATCTTCTATAGTCGTGACTAATTGAAGGAACTGTCTAACCAGCGGGTTACGCAAGGCATTTGTCCCATTCCTGGGAACCGCGAACCTGCTTCTGTCATCCACGAATTGGGCACGCTCCATTGCGTAATCCCACGACAAGAGCAACGCCTTCCGTTGATGAACAAACATCTTTTAGTGTTAAAGTCCACCGCATTTGTTTACATGATAATGTAATACAAGTCTCACTTCTAAAATACCATACCTTTAAAGATTGGATAACATGCATAAAAATACACCATCAATACATTCATTTGCTGGCATTTCAGCAATTTTGGGGCAGCTGTGACAGGAACAAGTTTATGATTTAAACCACGTAGGTATCTTGGTTGATGATTGAATAGTCCAGTTACATTTTGCTATATACCAGTACTATGAAGTATAATCTTACCCA